TTCACTTTGAGCCACGCTCCCATTTATAATCTGATCGTTCTGGATCTATTGTTTCACTGGGGCTCTGTAAGTGATTTTATTTTGGTTTCCCACAGTTCCCCAGTTGTTATTCGGTTCAATATGACCTAAACTAAATTAAATAACACTCTTCATCACAGAATTTTGTGCTTTATTTTCCTGTGAACATGTCTTTTTGAGAAACAATTATAATGAGTGCTGGACCTTCTAGGTATTTATAAAAAGTGGAGACTTAAAATGAAGGAAAATGAAGAATGCATATCTTTCAGCAGATAGGTCAGTTATGCCATAAAATAATATTAGAGCACAGTGTTTTCATCGTACAGTGTTTGTTTATTTAGCATGAATGAAAGCTTAAACAGGAGGTGATGATCCATCACAACAACTCATAGTTTCTACAAGAGACACTGTACTCATAAAGAGTAGAGGGAAAGCTGTCTTTATGAAAGACAATGGATTTGCAGTATTTAGGAAGCCACAGCAATGTTTTCCTCAAACAAAGCAAAAAATTTACAAAAATTGACCTTAAAACAAGTCAGGTAAAACCATTAAAATAAACTGCATTGTCTCTTCAAATCTGAGAATGACTTTTCTGCAAAACATTTAATTTGATCTTAAAACAGATCCCTTTTCATTAATCACTTACATTAAAGTAAACTTGATGAAAAAAAAAGTTTTATCCACAAAGGATACAAATAAAAACTCTCACTGATGATAAAAAGCTATAAATAACCCAATTACACAACTCAACCCACAATGGGTTCTAGTGAGTCCAGTTCAGGTAAAGTTCATTATTACTTTCTGGTCAGAAAGAGGACATTTTAATTTTAGATTAAAAAATCAATAATGGTAAAAAGTATTACTATAACATAATCAGTACAAGAAGTACCTCTCAGATATAATAATGATTGCAGATTCAATCAGTTTTCATTCATGCAATATGCATCTTATGATGTTTTTCTTTCCTAACATGCAGGATACTGTCAATGTCATTTCCTTAGGAAACGTCATCTTGCACATACACAAGAACACACAAAGTAAAACCTTCTGTACATACAGAAGAAAAAGTCCACAGAATTTTAAACAATTCAGTCCAGTCATGTCTGACCGATATGGTCTGTTTAGCTTGTCTGGTATGGAGTCCAGTGTGAGTGGTCTACCATGGCCTCCAGAGGTCGCTGTTGTCTTTTCTCTCCAGAGAGCATTGGGTGATGCTGGTCTGGTCTTTCGAGCTCAGAATAGAGAAGTCAGCCTCTTTCAGCTTGTCATCAGAGGCAGTCTGCAGCTTGTTGGAGTATGTTAGCAGGTTTCTCTGCTGCTGTAGCTGTGTCAGAAAGCAAACGGTCATCTCCAGGATGTCTGCCTTCTCCAGGTTGGAGTCTGGCTGCTGTTTGAGGAACTCTGGAACCAGGAGAGACTTGAGCTGCTCAATGCAGGTGTTGATTCGCTCTCTGCGTAACTTCTCCACCAGAGGCTTTCTGAGCTGCAGAAAAAAGAACAAAGTCATTAATAAACTTGTTCAGGAGTTTTGTTTTTGTTAGCAACAAAATATATTTTCTACAATTTGACAGTTTACATGAACGAAACCTTCAGTTTACCTTGTGGTTCAGAGTCAGATCCCGAGAACTGGTCATGGCTGGATCGCTATGCTGTAGAGGTCTCTGTAGAGAGAATCTGATCCCTTCTGATTTCATCCCTCCTATTTATACTCCATCATCTCCATATGAATGTGTGAGTCTTGGTCTTGTTGAGGTTTCCCACAGTCTGAGCCAAACAGAGAGCTGCTTGAGACAATAAGGCATGTGAGGCAGCGACATTCTGTCATTACCACCGGGAGTATAATAGTTAGCTCCCAGGGGAGCAGGTGGAGGAGATAAAGAGAGTGCAAGAGGGCGCTTTGTGAATCTGTGAAAGGGAGCAGATCTGATATCTCAGCACACCCTTAACATCCTATCAAATACGTGCAAGTTTACTTGATCTAATTAATGAATTATAGCTCTAACTGATAGGTAGATGACATTAGCTCTTTGCTTGTTTACCAAAAAAACTGAAGAGTGAATTGTGTATTGAATGTATTGTTATATTTAATTTGTAATTTATCAAGATATTTCATTTGATACTTTATTTAAACTTTTATCAAACCTTTTTTCAATAAAAAAAATCCAATTTTTCCTGTAATAACATGGTTGAGTGCAAGAGCCTGTGATTTTCTCACTGAAATTACTCAACACGATTATCATGCTGCTGACCACATGCAGTCATCCTTTGACACGTGCCGTATATCCAGTGTGAGTAGCAAGTTGATCTCAGTTTCCCACACTGACTCCCCGCGCTGTGTTCAATTAACCACAAAGGGACTACTGTGACAGATGCTGCCCGTGTGTTGTTATACAAAGAAAGAATTACATCACCAACCATCTGGAGGGAAAAGTTCCCATTGGTTGGCTCTGACAGACAGTTTCAATTTAAAACTGCTGTTAAAAAGTTTATCAAAACTAAACTCAGAATGTTTAAACCTGTCACATTTTAAGTTTTCTAACACTATAATACATTTTGAACTTTGGTGATAATCACTCACTCACTACTGAGTATCAAAGTAATCAACATTTTAACTGTGAGAGTGGGAGGTTTCCTGAAGTGTGCCAAATCCCTCAGGAGAATTAGCCGGCTGCTGGTCGGCTGATCGTTATTCACTCTCAGCTCTGTTCTCCAGAGTTTTCCCACACTTTAGTAAAAAAAATTGACATGTGCCAGTATGTAAGTCAACATATTTTTTTATTGCAAAGGTGTGTGAAATCTTCTGAAAAATCTTGCCAGTTGATTTTAAAAAAAACTGGTTGTTCAAACCTTTTTGAGAAAAATTAAAATTCAATAATCTTACAACAAAAAACAAAAAAACAAAACAGATTTCTGATAATTAGTTTTAAATAAGAGTTGCATGTCTGCTACTTAAGCTAAACTGGTACACACGGCATATAGCATCCTCTGATGTTTGCTTTACTTTATTGTTATAGCAAAACTTTTTCACTGAATCCCCAACCTGCAAAACACAGGTTTCAGGTGGTGGATGCTTAAAAAATATAAAATAAGAAGAGAGATTAAAAAATTACTGTGACCTGTAGTTCCTGTAGACTTCCTGTTATTCAAAAAACTTTAGCTTTTTCTGAATGACTCTTTTTCAAGGTTTGTACAATGATTTTCCACATCACCTCTTTGATTCTAGTCCACAGCTGAATCGTTCTCAAACACCTTGTGTTTAAATAGTGCTTCTAGTTTAAGAAGATCATATAACAGTTTTCTGATGGAAATGGTACTGCTGCTTTTTTCAAAGGAAGCGTAGCCATCATGATGATTTAAAACATCTTTCCGCTTGTGGAGTCTCGCTCCCTTTTATCCTCTGTCCCTTCAGGGCAAAGGTCTGGATCTATTGTTCCACTGGGGCTCTGTAAATGAGTTTCTTCTGCTTTCCAACACTTAGTCCTTTCAGTGCTGTCACTTGAGAAACAATAGAAGTGTGCCTTATTGAGCACCACATAAGCTAAAATATACATCATCTTTTAAGATTTAAATGATTAACTTTGAAACAATTATTAAAACATGTGAATCTGATGATTTTACCAGAAAAGTTAAAACACTGCATATTTGATCTTTAAGTTTAAAGATTTGACTTCCAACTGAACAAATTGAAATAACATCGATGGCCCTTCTCATTACAAATGTTGGCTTTTCACTGAATGTGCATTTTTTGGATAAACAATTATAATAAGGTTCTAAAGGTTTGAAGTATTTGTCTACAACAAATGGAGACAAAGATAGAGACACATGACAGAAAATGAAGAACATACAGTGCTCAACAAATTTATTGAACCGCCTGTTATAAAACAATAAAACAGACATCTTAGAAATCTGTCAAAAACTTGTTAGAAACTAGAAATTACATTATAAATATGAGCCGGCGCACTGGGTGCCTCTGAGAAGTCAGAAGTTAATTGAGCATTACAATCAATCACTAAAACTTTTTTTTTCTGTTCTGGAATCCAAGTAAGTAATTGTAATTTAGTATCATAAGCAAAAATAATAATGTGCTTTACTTTTTTTTTTTACTTTTTTTTGTAAAAAACAAAACAAAAAATGTATTGATAACAATTATATTTTAGCATTAAAAATATAATTTTAAATAATGAGTTTGAGCATACTGGTGGATTAACAATAACACAATTACCAATTCTGTTCATTTATAGCAGCTGTTCCACCAAATGTAAACCTTGGGTGCCCCAAAAAGACGTTACATGGACTTCTTCATTCTGAAAACGCTACGTCCAGATAAACAGAATCGGCTTTTTGGGATTTCATTAGCTTGATGATTGAGCATGCGTCAATGCACTTACACTGGGTGGTGTTCTAATAAATTTGTTAGTCACTGTCTGACTAGCATCAATGTAAAAAGATAACAGATCAACTGCATAAAAATTATATGCAAGCACAATGTTTTACACTGGCAGTGTTTATTTATTCAACAAGGACGAAAGCTCAAACAGGTGGTGATGATACATCACAACAACAACTTGTAGATTTCTACAAGACACACTGTACTCAGAAAGAGTAGAGGAAAAGCTGTCTTTATGAAAGACAATGAATTTACAATATTCAAAAACCCAGTACTCAGTGACATTTGATTTCTTTTTCCACTTTCACTAAACAGCAAATGACCTTAAAATACATTGTTATTAACTGCTAAATTCAATTTTTTCTCACAAAGTAAATATTACTTTGTCTTCTCAAACCTGACATTAACAAAAACAGTAATGTTTTCAGTCAAACAATAAACATATTGATCTTAAAACAGATCAGTTTTAGTAATGACATACATTGAGATACACGTCATCTAAATGTCCGCATAGAACAATTAAGATATTAAACTGATCAATAATGATCATGAAGTACCAATATCACTGTCAAGTTTTTACTGTGATATTAAGAAAACCTTTTAGAAAGAAGCTGTAAACACTTAGATCTTATAACAAATTCAACCTTGAATTTAGATTAATGTTAAACTGATCAGAAACAGTCAAGAGGTACAAACATCACAATTACACGACTTGCCCACATTGAGTCGTATAGTTAGAAAATCTTCATGAAAGAAATACTAAACATTTGGATCTTATAACAGATCAATTTTGTGTGATTAATATCTACAATCACAATAAATCCTTAAAATGGACACTTAAAATTTCGATCCAAAAAATCGAAAACCAATAAAAGGTAACGTCAATGTCAATTGAAGAAAATCAATAATAGTAAAAAGCATTACTATAACATCATCAGTACATGAAGTACAGAAAGAAACAATTAAAATTGCTGATGCAATCAGATTCAATTAATGCAATATGCATGACATGAAATTTTCTTTCTCAACATGAAAGATATTGCTACTACACTTTCCTTAGGAAATATCATCTGACACACACACACACACACACACACACACACACACACACACACACACACACACACACACACACAAGAACACACAAAGTAAAGCCTTCTGTACATACAGAAGAAAAAGTCCACAGAATTTTAAACAATTCAGTCCAGTCATGTCTGACCAATATGGTCTGTTTAGCTTGTCTGGTATGGAGTCCAGTGTGAGTGGTCTACCATGGCCTCCAGAGGACACTGTTGTCTTTTCTCTCCAGAGAGCATTGGGTGATGCTGGTCTGAACTGTGGAGCTCAGAAGACAAAGGTCAACTTCCCTCAGCTTCTCATCAGAGGCAGTCTGCAGCTTGTTGGAGTGCGTTAGCAGGTTTCTCTGCTGCTGTAGCTGCGTCAGTAAGCAAACGGTCATCTCCAGGATGTCTGCTTTCTCCAGTCTGGAGTCTGGCTGCTGTTTGAGGAACTCTGGACCCAGGAGAGACTTGAGCTGCTCAATGCAGGTGTTGATTCGCTCTCTGCGTAACTTCTCCACCAGAGGCTTTCTGAGCTGCAGAAAAAAGAACAAAGTCATAAATAACCTTGTTTGTTTGTTTTTTGTTAGAAAAAGAAAAGAAAGACTATCAACTTAATAATAATTTAAATCCAGGCAGTGTTCAATTTACCTTGTGGGTCAGAGTCAAATGATCTGTTGAAGTGGTCATTGGTGCAGCAATTGTAGGTGCCATGGTTGGATCTCTGTGTTGCAGAAGTCTCTGTAGAAAGAATCTGATCTCTGCTGGCTTCCTGGCTCCTACTTATAGTCCCACATTTCCATATCAATGTGTGGGTCTTACTCTGGTTGAGGTTTCCCACAGTCTGAACCAATCAGAGAGCTCTGTGAGACAATAAGGCATGTGGAGCAGCAACATGCTCCTGTATGCCTGGGGGATAATGGTTAGGTCTCAGGGGAACAGCTGGAGGACTGGGGGGAGACTGAGACATGCCCACAGATCTCTGTATGAAGCTGGGAAAGTGGTGACCCTGTAGAAGATCTGCTGCCAGATGCTGAGATCAATGATTCTGACTGAGCACCCAGTGCACGTGTGCGGGAATAACAAAGCTGTAATGTATGAATTTCAAGTAAGCAAAAAAAGTGATAGACTAGGTGAATTTCTCTGCATTGTCTGCTTCTGTTGATTTTAATGGAAAATTTTGTAATTTGTATTTCCTATCATAGAGCTTAAACATCTTTTTTTTTTAAATTTATTCAAAAAAATACATTTTGAAAACTCCATAAGATTTTTGAATGCTGTATCTAATTTAATTTGAATTTCTCAATATAATACATTAAAATACTCAAAACAAACTCAATCCAGATGCTCCTGTGTCTTGTGACACGTGCCTTGTAACCACTGTGAGTAGCAGGTCGATCTCAGTTTCCCACACTTACCCCCGTGCTGTGGCCATTGAGCCACAAGGGGATTTTTGTCACAGATGCTGGTTGTGTGTTGTTATAGAGACAGTGAATTACATCACAAACCATCTGGTGGGAATGGATCCCATTGGTTGGCTGGGATAATAACATTTGAAAAGATTATATCAAAATAATTTCTACTTTTTTAATCTTTGACACATTTTGATCCTCGGTTCGTATCTGTGACTGATAACTGACTGAGAGCTGGATTGAAATTTTGGGATTGTGATGGTGGGAGCCTTCCTGGGTGACACAATTTTCATGAAGTGTGTCAAATCCCTTTGGAGAATTCACAGGCTGCTGGTGGAGTGATTGCCACTGAACTCTTGTCTCATGGGTTTTCCCACACTTCTATCATTTGCCTAAATAAGCATGCCCCAATTTACAAGTTAATTTTCATCTTGAAGATTATTTACCCATAGTTCAATTTGTGAAAGTTGAAATTATTATCACTCCAACAAACTGGAAAGGGACTTAGAATGCTTTACATCAGGAATGGGGAGGCCAGATACTGCAGCATACGAAGAAGCATACAGAGGTTCAAGATCTGTAATAAGTGAATTCAACTACAGTAGGTTAACCTCAGCTAATAATGGGTAATGTTTGAGTATTTCTTCATCCTCTGGCCTTTTGCTGAGATGCTAAATCTTTTGTAAACCTTATGCTGTATATGTTAAGACTGCAGGGCAGCTCACTGGTGTGGTGGTCAGCACTGATACTTGATATTAACAAGGTCAGTGGTTTGAATCCAACATGAGACCTTTATGTACAGAATTTGTATGTAGTCCCCTCTATTAGGATGTTATGAATGGATGCCATCACTACCCCTATTAATTTAACTTTTCTGTATCCTCTAGCTTTATTTTCTCCTGTGCAGACTGAGACAACATCAGTGTTTTGCAATAAATTTCCAGCTAGCTATCTAATTAGACAGCTGTTTTCTAGAAATCCCCAGTGACTTTCATTGTTTTTTAAAGTGGTGATTTGTGAGTTTTAAATATTAGCTTGTGTTTTCTCTCAGAAAAGTGGGGTACTAATAAAATCGACTATGTTAACCGGATAACTTGCAGAACCTAAGAATTAGTGATATCCATCCAATGTAAAGCTGTATCTATAGCATGTTTCTAGAAACAGTATGTCTTGTTGAGCAAGATTCCCTTCTGTCAGGGGCATGGAGGCAAGCTGTTACATGTTCATCTGGTTTCTCTGTTTCATATTATCTTGGAAAATATATTCCTGAGAAAGAAACGACTTTGATTTGAGCGCCAACAAGACATAAACATGACAAGAGAGCGAAAGACTGTCTACAGACTTGGCAAAGGGTCAAGTGAATGAATGAGAAGAAATGCTGAAGTAAACTTCAGGCTTCTTGCAGTTCATTTTGAATAACCTTTATATGCCTACTTAAAGAGTTTGCATGGGCACTTTTAATTAAAGACCTCTAGTTTGTTCAGTTTAACTTGGATCCACAAATACTTATGAAACCATCTGTGACAGGGAGCTTCTTCATTTGGGCTTGAACTTACAATAGGCGTTATGACGAATAGATTTTTAGACCCCAAAAAATTAACAACGATTGAATGTGTGACACGTTGAGCAGTTTGCACTGTCAATAACAAAATTATTCTTTCATTCGTGTCTTTAATTTAAATCCACACAAGACACTTTCGAAGATCTCTTGTTAAAATAGAGATTAACAATAAGAAATGACAATTAAAAAAAATGGTGTTACTGTTTTATGTAAGGAATGGACAAAATCATGGCCAAAAAGACAACAACAAAACGATTAGAAATAGGGAGTCAGGCTCCCTTTTATCCCCTGTCACTTCAGGGCAAAGGTCTGGATCTATTGTTCCTCTGAGGCTCTGTGAGTGAGTTTCTTCTGGTTTCCCACAGTCCGTCCTTTCAGTGCTTTCACTACAGGAACAATAGAAGTGTGTCTTAGTCTGCATGTCATTAGATTTCATTTGTGACGGTTTCATGGAAGTGAGAGCTACAACAGAAACACTTAATTTTATCAAAGTAGCAGTGTCTAAAAAGTGTCTTTTATTTTTGTTTTAAAAACCCAAATATCCAGAAAGTTCCCCTCATTAAAAAAAGAATTGAACCTTGTTTTTCTTTTGTATGCTCTAACCTAAATAGTTTTTAGACTGCAGCATTTTTAATTGGATATGTAAATTAAACAAAGATCTGTGATAAACACCCCTTAAATTGACCTAAATTGGAAGTGAATGGAGTACATCTTTGCCATTACTTATGAAAACCACAACAAACAACATGCACTGAAAAAAATATGTTGTTGGATTTACTTAATTCAATGGTGGACATTTGTTGCACACAGATGTTTTGCTTCGGCAGCAACTTAAACAATTGAGTTAAATTAACACAATTTATTCATGTTCAATAAACCTGTGCAATTTGTGTTGATAAAATGTGACTTAAACATGTTTTGATGAAGTAATTTGAGCTCTTGGAATATTTTAATCCTTCACAATTTTCTCACGTTATCCCAACACGATTCAATAACTTTTACCCAATACTACTTGGTCACTTAAATACTACATGTTATCTTCAAATTACATTTTGCTATTATATTCTAGTATCAAATACACAATTTTCAAATGGAGGCCTTATAACAGATTGTATTGTTCTCTTCCAAGATGGTTGCTGGCATCCACCAGTAACCTTTCAAAACAAAATGTCTAATTTCACTGCATTGACAGTAGGTAAAGAATTAAACTGACATTACTCCTCCACTGAATCTATATAAACCAACAGTTAAATAATGTCAGTTCTTCCGTGTTCTCTGGAATCAATCACAGCAAAGAAATTAGACTGTTTCTTTTGAAAAATGTTGGGAAAGAACAAATCAAAACATTCTATTTAAGGCCTCTGACCTCAAGATTCAGTTAAACAACAATTATAACTAAACAATTTGAGGTAATGTTAGTTTCCATTAACATTAAATTAGGTTACTGAATTGGCAAACACCTTCCTATTAACACCTCCCATTTTACCCCAATAACTAAAGAAATTAGCACTTGCAGGTCAAAACCTTTATTCAAGAGACGCAAAAATAACATTGATACAGTGACTGTCAAAAATTACAGCACTGATCATACTGTGACATCTTGGTTCAAAACAGCACACTTAGAAATATTCAACGTTCTTTACTTCAACTGAATGAAACTGAAAATACCATTTCACACGACCCATATGGGATATTTAGACTGTATAACTGTTCACGCTACATCTCTTCACTAGTAAAAGAAAGAAAAATACAAAGAGAAATTTAAAAATGCTGCCAAACAGACAAACAGAACTTGTACAGAGCAAAAGGAAAAACAAACAACAAAAAAAACGGCTTGTCCTCATGGCAGTTGCAGAGTATATAAAAATGAACCCTGCGATCCGTTCCTGGAATTGAGCTTCAAAAATGCAGCAGAACAAGTGTGAGATTTAAATGTCCTCTCACCTAGAGCTGATCACCTCACATGCGTAACAGTGAGCTTCGTTGCAGGAGCAGTTTTGTCTTAGTTGTGAGCTTTTCTTGAGAGCTGAGTTGCATCCAACTCCATTACCACCCTTTGAATCACCTCAAAAGTGTAGCAGAGTTGTGATGGGTAACTCATGTTGAAGGAATAAAAAAGGTCCAAACAGCATGGCTACTGCAAAGGTCACGTTATCCAGATCTTGAAGAACAACATCAGAAAAGTCATTGCCTGGCGCATCTCTGGAGACAGATGTTCATTGTGGTTTTCTCAATCTGTGCAGTGGCCTCAGTCAAGTCCTGGTTAAACACAAAACATTTCTTTAAGATTCCTTTTTAAACTCATCTCTTTTGAATCTACCAGTTCTAATGTTAGAGTAATTTAAACCAATGCAAGCAACATAGTAAATAGCTATAGCCAAAGAGTGGCCTGCCATGCTGCCATTCATGGTCTAACAGAGTTTCTAAGAGAGGGTGAAAAACATAATAATTTCAAATGCTTTACATTAGTTTTTGTTAGAAAGACACCGGCCCATCAGAAATCCAGGTTATGTCACTCAGAAGATGTTAGAATTTAGACTTTCAGCCCCACAATTTGGTTAGCTGTTGGTCTTTTTTTTTTTTTTTTCAAACAAAAGCTAATGTAAATATTGGGGGATTTTTCTTTGTTCACTAGAATGACAAATTTAAAGTTTTTTCACACTGATGTGACCCCTAATACAGGGTGGGGCCTCAAGGGCCGGCGGCTGAGTTCACTACCAGGCCTCATGTGAACTTCAAATTATTAAAGAGGACTACTGGTCCTAACCAGTCCAATGAGGATCAAGTGGATAACTAAATGCATTTTTAAATGTTGCAAAGCCACAATCTACTCATAAAACACTCACCATGAACTCCTGCACCAAGATGTTGCAATTGTCTTTCACACAGATGCGGAGCACTTTGATGAGGGACTCCGAGCATTAATGTCATCCTAAAGTATTATAACAAAGAAAACAGAGATTTGTGAACTTTTCAGTAGCACAGAAGAAAATGATCCCAGACAAAAACTCTTGACTTTTTAAACCAGTCAACATGCAACACCAGCATCTACAAAGCAATATCAAAAGTTCCTGTTTGACATCAACTTTATGGATATATCGTTTCCAGAACATTTATTTTTTAAAAAAGATAAATTTTTCTCAGTGGGCCAGTAAATGCATGACGAAAATTATGGCATCCTTTTAGTGGAATCAGTACTCACAGGTAATAGTTGACGGTTTCAATGGATGTAGCATAAAAATCTTTTACTGACCTAATGCAATACATATACACTTTGTAGTTAAAGAATTTTAAAGTTCTTACTGTCATAATGGCAGCTACATCCATTAGCTTTGTGCCCTGTTCCCCCGATCACTTTGCAAACACTTTCAGCAGACTGCCAGAGAGAAACTCAGCTCCGTCAGAAACCTTGACTGTATGCATGGTTGGGATGCACTGGAATGCTGCATTTCATCTGAAATGACATAAAATTATTTTGAAATAACAGCAGGCACTGTGCTTGGTTAATCAGTAATGTTTTGTTGAATAAAAACTGTGTTTCCAGATCTTATGGGATTAAAAAAATCCAAAGATGTTTGTTTCTGATTTGCAACCCAAGAACCCACAAGTTACAACCTCATTTCAGTTCAAGTGTGCATTAATGCGAGTCCAGTAATCACCTTTCTGGCAATACATACAGGTATAAGATAAACCTATGGCAGATTTTGGATTTCTCAGTTGTATTAATAGGGTGAGTATGCATGCACCTAATAATTATAAAAAACCTATTATAATTAAGTTACAGAAACGAAAATAGAATATACTTTCTTACCATAACACCTTGAACCCACAATCCATCAGCTGACTCCTGGTGAAATGCAGAATAGAGGTCGTCTCTCAATGTGCAGCAAAAAAAAACAAAAACAAAAAGAAAAGGACAGCAGGTGAGGGCAGGAGGGGTAGGGATGTAAGCTAGCATAATGCCGCTGATGATATTAGCTAAAGCTGTTCAATGTCCAAAATCTCACTAACACCACGGTGCAGTAAATACACAATGTAACTGAAGAGTCAGTTGGCAAATCTATTCACACAGAAAACCAAATTATGTTATGAGTGCCTCGTAATTAGGTTTAATGTGATATTACGGCTCTTGTGCCAAAGACAAATTCAAATGAAAAAGCGCCAATTCTTTGACAACAGATAAAACAGCAAATAAGCTAACGGCTCTTTTTTAGCATGTTACATGGCGACACTCTAGACGTTTAACTACATTTGGCTGAAATATGGTAAAAATTAATTCAAAAAATCAAGACATACCAAAAACGTACAGTTGGCTGCTCGACTTGACTGAGATGGATGCCTTTTTTAAACCACGATCCAAAGCCCGCGAGATGAAATCACGCGTGGTTTCACGAGATTTAACGTTGCTATCTTATTAACTTACTTCACCTGAACATGATATGAACAATTTAATACACCCTTTCTGCATATCATGTAGTTTTTACACTATATAGTTACATTTAACTTTAAAACATGAGGCAATTGTGTTAAATACATGCAAGATGCTTACATAAATCCAAGAGATGGCCAGTCCCTTTTTTTCAGTGTGGAAATACAGTTTTCACTTGGCAGTGTTTGTTTATTTAACAAGAGCCACATAAAACATAAATGTTTTAAACAGGAAGTGATGACACATCACAACGACAACTTGTAGATTTCTACAAGGCACACTGTGCTCAGAGAGAGTGAAGGGACACCATCTTTGTGAAAGACAAAATATTTACAGCATTTAAGAACACATTAATCAATATGAAAACTATTAATATCGACCTTCAAACAGATCACATTTACGTTCCCAAAGGAAAAAAAGAAACACCTATCACAAAAAAGCTGACAGTGTGAAACATAAAATATTAATCTTAAAACAGATTGGTTTTCAGTAATCACAAAGTGATCAGTGTTTGTCAAAAGGTACAAATAATATACTGTTTAATCCTCAGTGAAGTGGGGGTTAAAATGGTCATATCAAGCCTTTTATAATTAAAAGGATAAACAACTGGATCTTAGAACAGATCTGTTTTGATATTAAATGGGGGTCAAGTTTAATTTTACAATCAGTCCAGAAAAAGGACATTTCAATCTTAGATCACAAGGGTCAAAAACCAACAAACAAAATACTACATTTGGTTCATGCAACATGCATGACATGAGGTTTTCTTTCTTAATGTGCAAGATGTCATTTCCTCAGGAAATGTCATCTTGCACAGAAAAAAAACAGACAAAAACTATAGTACTATATATACAACTATGTTACCATAACACGTACATTAGGCATTGATAATAATCGCTGATGCAATCAGATTTCATTCATGCTACATGCATGACAAGATATTTTCTTCCTTAACACGAAAGGCTCTATTGCTGTCATTTCCTCAGGAAATGTCGTCTTGCACACACAGAAGAACACAGAAAGTTCAAATAATTCAGTCCTGTCACGTTTGACCAATATGGTCTCTTTTTTTCTTGGTATTAACTCCAGTTTGTCGTGTCTACCATGGCCTCCAGAGAGCGCTGTTGATCGGACATTTGTTTTTTTTGGTGATCATGTTCTGGACTGTGGAGCTCAGAGGAGAGAAGTCAGCCTCTTTCAGCTTCTTATCAGAGGCAGTCTGCAGCTTGTTGCAGTGCGTCAGCAGGTTTCTCTGCTGCTGTAGCTGTGTCAGGAAGCAAACGGTCATCTCCAGGATGTCTGCTTTCTCCAGTTTGGAGTCTGGCTGCTGTTTGAGGAACTCTGGACCCAGGAGAGACTTGAGCTGCTCAATGCAGGTGTTGATTCGCTCTCTGCGTAACTTCTCCACCAGAGGCTTTCTGAGCTGCAAAGAAGAATAATGCAATTAATAAATTTGTTCGGGAGTTTTGTGTTAGCAAGAAAATATAATTGATACAATTTTATAGAAAACAAATTCCATTAATTTTTGATTTACCTTGTGAGTCAGAGTCAGATGCTCCTCAGAACTGTTAATTGCTGCAGGGATTTTAGGTGCCATGCCTGGATCTCTGTGCTGTGGAGATCTCTGTAGAGAGAATCTGATCTCTACTGGTTTCATCCCTCCCATTTATACTCCAGCATCTCCATATGAATGTGTGGGTCTTAGTCTGGTTGAGGTTTCCCACAGTCTGAGCCAATCAGAGTGCTCTGCGAGACAATAAGCCATGTGGAGCCAGCAGCATGCTGCCGTTAATGCCTGGGGGATAATAGTGAGGTCTCAGGGGAACAGGTGGAAGACTGTGGGTAAACGAAGGGAGTGTAACAGATCTCTGTGTGATTATGGGAAAGTGGTGACCCTGTAGGGAAAGGAGATCTGCTGCCTGATACTGGGATCAATGGTTTTGACCGAGCACACGCTGATTATCCCATCACATGTCAGGGAAAAACATTCATGTTTTAATGTAAAAATTATGGGTAAAAATAAAATAATGGGATTAATGGTTTATTTCGCATGTGTTGTTTATAATGAGATTAATATTAAGGGAAACTGTAAACATCAATTTGATTTTAACTGATAATTTCTTTTATACTATTGTATAAAGAGTTACAAATTTTGTTTTATATATATATTTTACAAATGCAAGAATATATTTTGGTGTTGTACCAATTAATTAAATCATAATGTCTCTAGAAAATAATCATGTAGCCGACCAGATGCAGTCATGTCTTTTGACACGTGCCATATAGTGAGCATGAGTAGCAATTTAATTTCAGTTTCCCACACCCGTGTTATTGTCAATGAACCACAAAAGAACTTCTGTTGCAGATGCTGTGGGTTGTTATAGAAACATGAGGTTACATCACCAACCACCTGGAGGGAAAGAATCCCATTGGCTGCCTTGGACAGATGTTACAATTAAAATTTATAATAAAAAAAACATTCTTAAAGTAATCAAATTAGGGTACCACAATTTGGAAAGTATTATTTTCAGTTTGCAATCAGCTACACATTTTATACCTCTAATGCTAATCATGATTACTGATTACTGACCATCAACTACATCAAAATCTCACCTCTTAGGGTCCTGGGGGTGGGGGATGGTGGTGGCAGTTTCATGAAGTGTGTCCAGTGCTTCTGGTGGATAATTCACAACTGGTGGGGTGAATGTGTCCTACTCTTTTCTCCAGAGTATTCACTTAACCATAAATAAATAAATAATAATAATAATAATAATAATAATAAATAACTCTTGTGCCCTGTTGCAGGTTGAAAATTCTCCCATAGAATCATCTTTAAAAATATTTACCTATGTAAAAATAAAACTGAATGTCATGCCCTGTCATAATTGACATAAATAACTTAAGCAAAAATATTAACAGTATTGGATGGCCTTCAACTTTTTGTCACTCAGAGTTTACATGAACAACAAGAAGGTCAGATTTTGCAGCAGCTGAAAAAAAATATGTACAGCTGCAGCCTGTGGGTGGAATTAGATTATTTAGAAACTGAAGTTGTTTCCCCTTAACTTAAACCTCACATAGTCTTAAATGTAACAGGATACAGCTTCATCTTGTAATGCTTAACCTCACTTCAACTTTACTCTAACCCGCTGTGCTTACTATGAGCTCGTGAACCTTTGTAGTTAAAACAAATTTAACAACAACGGGTCCACTACAGCTGTGCCATTAAAAAAATGTTGTAACTGAATTTTTAAATTACTGTAATGTATTGCTAAATTATTTTTAGTTAGTTTGACCCCAAAAATAAAGATCTATCTCAAACTCTGCAAATGAAACAGTTTACTGAACAAAATAGTGGTGTGATATATAAAAAACTAGAGTAACAGTTTTAATCAAAGGCTTGATGTTAAACTGATTGTTGTAAAATAACAGACGTTTAAGCTCTGTTCTTTCAGGGCAAAGGTCTGTATCTGATGGTCCAGAAGGGCTCTGCAGACAAGTTTATTCTGGTTGTTGACTATTCGCTGCTTTTATCATTGACCGCCAGAGGGCGCTGTTGTTTGAACATTAGTTTTTGGTGATGCTGGTGGAGCTCAGAGGAGAAAGTCAGCCTCTGTCAGGTTCTTGTCAGAGCACCAGAGCAGCTGGTTCAGCAGTGGGTCAGCAGGCTTCTCTGCTATCAGCTCTGCTATTTGCTCTGCTGTAGCTTTGTCAGGAAGCAAACAGTCATCTCCAGGATTTCTGCTTTCTCCAGTTTGGAGTCTGGCTGCTGTTTGAGGAGCTCTGGATCCAGGATAAACTTCAGCTGCTCAACGCAGGACTTAATTCTGTCTTTGCACAACTTCTCCACAAGAGGCTTTCCCAGCTGCAGAAAGTAGAAAATACATTTTAAAAAAATTCAAGAATTTTGTTTTAGTAAAAATGTATCTAATTTATTACAAGTTTTTGACAATTGCGTCAATTTGTGATTTACCTAATGAGTTGGGATCACTTTCTCCTGATAAGCGATCATTGCAGTAGGGATGTAGGTGGATCTCTGTGCTGTAAAGGTCTCAGTGGACAGAACCTGATATCCCTCCCATTTATACTTCACCATCTCTATATGAATGTTTGGGTCTTTCCCTGCTTGAGTTTTCCCAGTCTGAGCCAATCGTGCTCCTGTTATTGCCCAGGAAACAGTGGCTAGAGATCAGGGGAACAGGTGATGGACTCTGGGAGAGAAGTACTCTCAGAACTCAAATTGAATCTCAGAAAATAGAAACCCTGTAAAGAAAACTAATATGACTCCTCATCCCAGCTTAATGATCTATTAACGATCTAATTAATGAACCACATATAAAGTAAAACTTACTTCGATTTTTTGGTCTCAATTTGTTTGATAATTTCTAAACCCAAACCTTTAATGCATCTTTTTTTAAATAAATAGTCAACTGAACATCATTCAGTTTTAATGAAATGCTTAATTTTTATGCAGGATAACAAGTTATGTTTACTAACATGTTGACAGTTTATCAGATTGGTATTGTGGGCTGTTTTAGTTTTCTGATTGGTTTGCTGTAGTTTATTGCATTACTCAAGTACTCAAGGCAATAATTGTGCTGTTGCTCTTGTGTCAGTGACATGTGCCTTTTAGTCAATGAGAGTAACACGTTGATCTGGGTTTCCCACACTCACTCCCTGTGCTGTTGTCAGTGAGCCACAAAGAGACTTTAGTGGCAGATGCTGCCTGTGTGTTGCAGTAGAAAGAAAGCATTGCATCACCAACCATCTGGAGGAAAGGATCCCATTGGCTGGCTCTGAGTGGTAGTAAAATTTGAAATTGTGGTGAAAATCTGCCATAATCAGAGTAGTTTCACATCATATTTTCAGGTTGCAATCACTGTGATGGGGTGTTCATGGGGATTGCTGAAGTGTGCCAAATCCCTTTGCAGTAATAAAAAGCTGCTGGTGCTTTTGCCACAGTCCTCCAAAATTAGCAGGTGCCTGCCTACAAATAGACTTTCATTAATGGACTGCACACGTGCAGGTGCTACACAGTGGATGGGCTTCTCAGCAAATAATTGCCCATTAAGCCTTGAATGCATTTCTTGAACCCCAGGATATACATCTATAACACATTTTGAGTTTGATCAAGCATTGTTTATTTAAACTATTGTTTGTAATGATAAAGGAATTGTTTCCTTTTGGAAAGCCAGATATCATAAGCAATATACTGTAACTTGGACTTCAGCTGTTATTCTCTTAGTTAGAAAAAGAAAAAGTATGATGGCCCGTGCGATTTTGTAATTTGAGGAGGGTTTAGACTCCTGATTCCTTGTTAATCTGTCAGGGCAAAGGTCTGGATCTATTGTCCCACAGCAGCTATGTGAGTGAGTTTTGCCTGGTTTCCCACACAATTCCCTTTCACTGCTTTCACTGGAAGAACAATAGAAGTGTGCCTCATTATACAACACATTAGATACATTGTCTGACGTCAAAGGGATGTGTTTAAAGTTACATTTAAAAAAAAAATGAAAACATGCACGAATGCACAAAAACATGAATTGGTTTGATGGCTTAATGTTGTTCAATTAAATACAGTGACACAAAACGAATAATTCAGCTTCATTAAATGAGTTTCGATTATATTGCTCCAGACTTTGATAATTTAGTTAAATAAAACATGTGTAGTTTGATTGTCTGTTAAATTTCTTGAAAACTGATAGCCTGGTTTAAAGATGAATTACATTTATATAAATTGGCATGTTTTTTTTAAAAATATTTATGTTAAACGTCAACAAAAAAAAACATGTCTACTCACTGTACTGAACAGAGAAACAGCTGTCTTTATAAAAGACACAAACAGATTGTGTTTCACATAAAGCAAGGTAGATGTTTACAAAGTTATGAGCACCAATTCATGACTTTGTAGCGACAAGTTCACACCGTATATATTCTGCCAAACTATGAGAATACTATGTGATCATGAAATGTTTTTTGGAATTTGACTTCTCTGTATGTTATTTTTAAACTTTTTCTCTCTCTTTGAATTGACTGTAAGTGCTGAAAATTGCTAGTAGGAAAAATACACAGTTTTTGTGCTGGACAAAGTCATCTTGTCCATGTCACATGTGTGTCCTCTGTCTCTGGTTATAGCTGCTCTCAGTTTCCCACACTCAGTATTGAATCATGTGGTCAGTGCACGACAAAAGGACCCTGAAAAGACATTATATAAAGGTTTGGCTGTGCTTTGACTGAAACTGCGTGACGTCACTAACCATCTGGAGGGAAAGTACATGATTGGTTGGCATGACCAGGCCTGATAAAAATCCCAAATTACTGTCAAAACCAAATCAGTTGTTTATAACTAAAACAATCTGCACCTAACTATTACACTTAATGGAGAAATTTTGGATTGCACATAACCAACTAGTGATCGATAGTTAAGGACTCACAGCCTAATTTGGTTCTAAAGTGTGCCAACAATCCACCGCTGAAAGGATGTTAGTGACATATTTTATGTACATTCATTTTGGACGCTTATTAATAAGAATAAATATTTGCATGTTAAGTATCTTAACACCTGTATGTTTAACATGATCGGTTTTCAGCATTATGCCACCATATTCCATTTCACT